AAGGAACAACTGCCATGGGTTGTATGCTCATGAGAAAAATAAAGAGTTAAATATTGTATTTAAGTGTGAAATTTGAATTGATTCTTTGTAATTTAGGTTTGCATTGTATTTAATGTGCTAATTTAAAAAGGTTCAAATAATCCTGCTCTAAAAGAGAAATACTTCTGGCTATTTCCTTTTTAAAACACGATTTGTTCACATGCATCTGTTTATTCATACATACAGGTAAGTTTAATTAAAAATACTTACATTTGTTCCTGTAAAGCTACTTAGATAGGACTGTTAAGGGTATAAAAGAAAAACCAAAACTTATGGAGAGCTTCAAATATGCCAGGCACTGTTCTAAGTGCTTTATACAGATGGCTTCATTTACTTCTTCCAACAGGCCAACCCTACGAGATGAGCATTATTATAATTATTCTTGATTTACAGGGAGAAATCTGAGGGAAGGGGCAGATTCCCTTGCTCAGGGTTGCAGAGCTGAGAATCTAAGCCAGCAGCCTGACTCATAGCCTTAACCACTCACTTCTCCCCAATAAACTTCCAAGTAAACAAAATAAACAGCCACAGTGTAGCATGGTGGTTCTCTTTCATGTAATGATCACCTCACAAACAGTTCCTGAGTGCACATAATCTACAAAAACTGTGCTAAAATGTGCTTAGAAAAAAATGTCTTTCATGCAGGGACAAGACAAGATGACAGACTTGGCTTGGGAACCAGCACTATGTCTTCTGGGTATGAATTTGTATAGGTTCTGTGAGGAGGACAGTAAGAACATCTCTTAAGAGTAGGGATAAATGACATCGTTTATTTAACATAGGATGGGACATGAATATTATGACTATTCATATTATCTAGTTTCTATTCTTGAGTGGCTGGGGTAGAAGGATAGAAAATCATGTAAATAATTACAAAAGAATACAGAAAAGTTCTATAAAGGAGGAGTGTTCAGATCAGATTAGAACCCTAAAGGTGGGAGGGTGGGTAGAGGTATTAAGAACAAGCAAATGGTGGTTAAATTGAGGAGTTCTAATTAAAGCCAAGGTTCTAATTAAAGCCAAGTATAGACCCAATGTTTAATAAGTGTATTTTATCTTTAATACAAATGCGGTTATGTTTTCATCTACAGATTAAGAAAATAACATTTATCGAGTACATTTTATGTGCCAGGCACTGCAATGATTTTCCCATATTCCTTTTTTTAAAAAATATTTTTTTAGTTGTAGATGGACACAATGTCTTTATTTTATTTATTTATTTTTATGTGGTGCTGAGGATCGAACCTGGTACCTCATGCATGCTAGGCAAGCGCTCTACCACTGAGCCACAACCCCAGCCCCAGGATTTTCCTATATTCTATGGCTTATTTAATGCTCAAAACACCAAGGTATTGACATTTTAGGTAGTTCTGATTAGAGCTTAGTGTTTTTCTGCATTTGAATTGGAACAATTGCTACCAGGCAGAAGACCTGAGCCTCCTGCCATCATCTACAGCTCCATGTGGCCCTCACATTGGTGTTTGTGCCATGGCTATGTGCATTTGTATTTGTGTAGCAGTTACCTTTTTACCAGTGTTAAAAAGGTAACTTAATATGCTGAATTTTTAAAAATTCACAGTAAATTTTTTTTATAAAGAAAGTAATAAAGGGGCTGGGGTTGTGGCTCAGTGGTAGAGTGCTTACTTCACATGTGTGAGGCCCTGGGTTCAATTATCAGCACTGCATATAAATAAATGAATAAAATAAGTTCCATCGATAACTAAAAACATTTTATATATATATACACACACACACACACACACACACACACACACACACACACATATACATTAAAGAAAGCAACAAAGCATAGGTGTGATGTTCATTTTTCCATTGTTCCTAGAACTAATCTTTCTTCTGTGCACTTTGTGTCTAGAAACATTTTGAGGACACTTAACTAACTCTCTTTGCTTTCCAGAACAGAAAGCTAGCTTCTGCTCTTATTTCTCTCTCTCAGTTAAAGTTGGCAGTACCAATGAGTAACCAACCCAGTTTTTCAAGGTAAAAATCTAGGGTTTTCACTCCAGTGAAAGTCCCTCCTCCTGAGCTCATGTTTTGCTTTCTTTCAGGGTCCCTGCTCTTGCCAGACCATCACAGCCTCTTCCCTGGTTGACAACTGTGATCATCCCCTGCTCCCCTTGATGCTAGTATTCCCTCTCTCTGCCTTTCTGCCATCCACAACACTGTTCTGGTTACTCTTCTAAAACACAGGCAGGATATTCCTCTATTGGAAACTTGCACTGGCTCCCTAGGGCCCACAAGATGAAGGCTGAAGGCCTCAGCATGGCATCATGGCTTTCAGTCTCTGGCCTCATCCTGCTTTTACTAGAGCCAGTCAGACAGCTGTTCTATCAACACTGAACCACTTGCCCATCCTATGACTCTGGACCTGATCTCCCAATCCTGCATACTTCTGAGAGTTCATCTTAAAATACACAATTCTTGTAGATGATAGGTACTATTTCCTCTTCTAACAATTTTTAAAAGCTTCACAGCTAAGAAATAATAGAAGACTAGAAAGGCACCTAAATTTGGGTGCCTTGGTATTGATGGTCCCTTCGTTTTGGGGAGTCAATGTCCCACCCCAGGCTAGCCTCATGAATGCCCAGGAGCACTATCTCTGGACAGTACATACACATCCAATGCTGGGACTCACTGCCAGGCCCACTAGATAAAGTTTGGTTTCTGTTGAAGAGGTGAATCAAATGGTGCATCAGCTGAATAATGTAAAGGCAATATGCATACAGATAATCTGCTTTTCTTTAGAAGCAAGTTACTTTAAAGAGATAATCAACACCTGAGTTTTCATGGATAATTCTGAATGTGCTTAATCAAACTTAATAGCTCCTGTTAACAAAAATAATCATGAATACGAGGTAAATTATTTTTATATAATATGTAAGTGAAACCATAAAACTGATATTGGTAAAGATAATAAAAATTCTATTTCATGAATGTACACAAAGCCTTTATCAGATCTTCTTTAATTTATCTCTAAAGTATATTTGGAGCTTAAAAATAATGAAAGGAGAAATTTCAGTCATTAGTATTAGATGTACATCATCTCCTACATGGGTTGTTCTTAATACTAACATTAGAAAATTTAAGGAAAAATGAAAGTATAATGAATAATGCTTAGGATTAAAAATTTAAGGAAATTAGAAAATTTAAGGAAAAATGAAAGTATAATGAATAATGATTAGGATTAAATGTACTTTGTAGAATAATTTACCTCTGTTTCCAAATTCATGATTTACCTGGGATTTGAACCAGGCCTTTAGTTGCAGTAAAAATATGATCTAATAAAATGAGCAGACTGATCCAGGGTAGAATCATCATTAGTGATTTTTAAAAATTAAATGTTTAGAAGAATTTCCTAACATCTGTAGCATATGCTTATTTTTAAAAATTTTATTTAAAAATTATTTTTTAGAGATTTTTAATAAGAATTTTTTTAGTTATAGATGGACACAATACCTTTATTTTACTTATTTGTTTTTATGTGGTGCTGAGGATTGAACCCAATGCCTCACAAATGCTTGGCAAGTATGCTAACACTGAGCTATAACCACAGCCCCTGCTTATACATTTTTAAAAAATACCTCAACACCAAGGATTGGATAAATGATTTTCTATTCTAAAAAGTCATCAGATGAGGGCTGGGGTTGTGGCTCAGTACCGGTAGAGCACTCGCCTAGCACGTGCAAGGCCCTAGATTTGATCCTCAGCACCACATATAAATAAATAAATAAAGGCATTGTGTCCAACTGCAACTAAAATAAATAAATAAATATTTAAAAAGGGTCATCAGATGAGCAAGGTGTGGTTGCGCAAGCCTTATAATCCCAGCCACTCAGGAGGCTGAGGCTGGAGGATCATGAGTTCAAAACTCAGTGAGACCCTATAATAAAATATAAAAAGGGCTGATGATGTGGGCTCAGTGGTTGAGTACCCCTGAGTTCAATCCCCAGTACCAAAAAAAAAAGGTTACAAAATGATTATTTTGGTTGTCTTCCTTTATTAAAGACCCAGTGTGGATATAGGCTAGCAATCCTTCAGTTTAAAAGAGAGTACTTAAAAAAATAGCAATTTGTTTCTTATTTAAAGTTTAAAAGGTAGGGCCAAACTCCAGTCCTATATAGACCTGGGGGAGTTCTCAGCAGGATCTGATTCCTACGAGATCTGATAATAACAGATCACTCACTCATGTTTATTTTAAGAACTCTGCCAACAAGTTGGGGTTCACAACATAAGTGTACTTAGATAAAGATATTATAAATAGAGTATGCAATGGCAAATACAGCACATTATGATAGAAATTCGTTTTACAGTCTATGAATATAAAACAACAAGTCAGATGGCTATCTCAGATATAATCCAACATCCTGAACTGCAACAACATTCAAGCTATGATATTAAAATAGCAAACCTTTGCAGAACGTTAACCTATCATTATACCGAGTAAATGACATGGCACTGCCACCTAATTAGCAGTGTAGCTTGCATCTATAAAATAGAATTAGCACTACTGCTTCTTTTTTATTATTAGTTTGTGTTTCCAGAAAGGTATGACCTTATCTGTATGCTTCTGTTCATTTATGCCCATCTACAAAGGATTTAATTATGTTCTTTTAGTTTTCTACACTGAGGAAATTGAAAACTGCCACTTCAAAATTAAAAATGTTAAAGAAATTAGTGAGCAGATTATTTACACCATCACCCTTCTTCTTTCAGAGATAAAGAATGGAAACATGTTTAAATAAATACAGCATGAATTTTTCAAAAAAGAAAATTCTAGGCAGAAAAATTACTACTGGTCCTCTTTTTCTCTTTCTCACATGTATTCTCCAAGTTTCTCTAATTGTCTTAGGCAGAACTAGTTAAGGAGAAAGCATATTCATACTATAGAATCTCTGGAAGATATATCCGTTACAGTCAGCAGCCAGAAAACATCAACTTACATCTGAGGAAGGTGATTCAAGAACAATGCCGAATCCCAGGACGTGGCTGTCCTTGGTGGAGGTGAGCTCTGAGGCTTGGGGACCAGAGGGCTCCAAGGCCCCTGCTGCTGGCTTCTTCTCAATTTCTAACACACTGGGCTTCTGTTTCACAGTAACAGGTTCAACCGTCTTTGGGGGCACTTTTTTCTTTTTATTTCTCTTGCGTGAGACAGCAGTTCGCTGGGAGCATATAAGGGAAATTGGGGGTTGTTGTCTGTTTTGAGTTCCAACTGTGAACAATAAACACAAATACGGTACAGGCACTGGTGTCTACCTGAGGAAAACTTACCCCCATCTATCTCTGTGATTTACAAACCGATAGTGAGGTTCTTTTAAAGATGATACACACCCAAATAAGCCTTACTCTGGACCTCGAGGTTACCAAATATAGGCTGGGCACACTTTAGAGCCCTGTAGGCAGAAAAACACCCAAAACAAAACCCAGTTCCAAAAGAGGACCATTGCAACATACTGGTACTGATGGCTTCAACAAAGAAAAGGATTAAGGGCTCTGAGAAAACCTGCAGTCTTCATAAATCATCTGACACTTAAAAATAAATAAGAACTTTGGAACTTAAATTCAGGTATAGATATCCATGCTTTCTAGTAAGCCCACTTCAGGAACATGCTGACTGTCATTTGGAATTAGGCTGATTAGTTGCCAACAATCTACAGGTGTCCAGACTGACAAGCTGGAGCAATGATCATCATTTGGGCAAGACTGATAAAGGGAAGTATTCAGTAACAGGGAACAGTAATAAGCCCGTGGAAAAAGCCTGTTGGTCACTTGAGCAGGCCGGGGAACTCCTTCCTCATTAAATATTCTGAGCATATCACCTATCTCCATGGCACCATGTTCCATGGTATTAGCCTAGGTCACCTCTCTACACCTCAGTTTTGCATAGTTGAAAAGAGGAATAATATAGTTCTATATAAGTCAGGCAGATTAGTAAAATCCAGAAACAATTTGAGTTCCAAAGATGAAAAGCACTATATAAGGACTAAAGCCAAGGTAGTTTTCACAGGTGCATTCTGAAAAGTAGTGACTGTTAGCTATTTAAAAATACTCTGATGGAAAGTGAAATAGAAAAAATGGCCTGAATTTGCATTAAATCCTCATGTATTAATATGGTTTATTAAATATGACCACAGATTATGCCTGCTTTTTTGCAGAAATAAACCTATTAATGAAAGCAAAATAAAAACTGTGTTCATATGCACATAGACATGGGTCACGTCCTCTTACTTCTTTCCTATCAGTCTGAAAATAAAGAATATTTACACTTGATTCTGATGTTTTCATCTTCAGACTAGAAGGCAAGTTATAAGTATTGGAAACAAATACTTAAAAAAGTAGTTTAACCATTTGTGTAGTATTTAGTCTTACTGGTTCTCTGCCTCAGCTGCATATTAGAATTACTGTGAAGTTTAAAAAAAGCAAAAACAAAGATTGAAAATAATAACAACAACAACAACAAAAAAAAACTCAGTCCAAAAAACACCACAGACTAAATGAACAACAGCCCAGTCTGGAGTAGGTCCCAGGCATGTTAATGTGAGATATATATATATATATAAAATTCACATATATGTATATATGTGTATATTTTTTTAAATTGTTGGTAGACCTTTATTTATTTATATGCGTTGCTGAGAACTGAACCCACTGCCTCACACATGCCAGGCAAGTGTGCTACCACTGAGCCCCAGCCCAAGCCCATGTTAATGTTTTAAAGCTCCTCCAGTGATTCTAACATGCAGCCAGAGTTGAAGACTTCTCTTTATTCTATCTGTGTGTTTACTCCAGGCTAGCTTTGGCCTGTCAAATAGACCCCCAAAGTGATGCTCAATCTCATCTATGCCACAACCCTAAGCCCCACTATTTCAAATTAAAAGAGAAAATGTTTTTGCTTTGCAGAACACAGAGGACGATATGAGTTTTCCTTCTCCTTTTGCAAATCTAGACAGAGCCCACACTTCTGGCATCTGGATCTTAACTTGATCTTATTCCTTGTCTGTTCACTAAAATAAAGGTTCGTGAAACTTTCAAAATATAATTTAAATCTAATTCTTACAGCCAACAAACCTTAAGTAAGTCTACCCATACAACACAAATTTTTAAGTTTAAGAAAATTAAAGGAGTGTAATTTATTCAGTTTATCCTCTGAACTATCAACAGCTTTGGAATTGTTTACCTTCCTAATCTGCAAAGGTTCAGAAAAGAAAACATGGTGACAAAGTGGCATTTACTTAATAGATTCTAGAAAGGCTTCAGTCAAGGATTTAAATGGCTGCAATTTGTAGTTTGCCATTTCAGTAGTAAGGAGCTTAAGTAACAAAATAAATCATTACAATTTCATATATATATTTTCTTAAGTGCTAACAGATTCTTCCTTTGAGAAAAGAATCTCAGTAATAATAAAGTAGCCTTTCTTTCTGAAGCCCTACTTTAGAAGATGTTAACCTTTGCCAGGTTCATAAGAACGCAGATTATTGTTGTGGAACAAGGTGAGTCAAATGCTTACTGACCTAAGCAAAATGCTTATTTTTGCCTTGGGATAAGACCAAATTCAGCATTAATAAGATGCTTTCACAAAGTCTTTAGCTCGCTTTACTCTAGTGTATTTTAGGTGGCCAATATGTCTAAGTATTAAGCTTTTTATATCTAAACCACATCAATGAGTATTAGGGTTTTTCTAGAATTCTCTCAGTGACACCAAGAGCAGTTTCTGAGCCATAATGCTCCCAAACACCACTGTGATAAAAGGGTAGGACACTAATCATAATGGGTCTGTGCTATTTTTCTGCTTTATTAAAACTTTCATCAAGCAGTAGTTTCCCCTAACAAAAGGGAAGACTTGAAAAAATAGTTTGTTATTTTTTGTACGTATGACCAAAAAAATCTGGTTTTCTTTGTTATGGTGATTTGAAAATAATCCACTAAATGAAGACCTTGACTTCCAGACTTCTATGAAATGCTGCATGGTATTTTTTTTTTTAAAGCACTAATGAGAAACCCATGTTTGCATCATGCTTTATGAAGTTCATTTCATTTGCTATCTCCTGATATGAAAATGACCCTGTGAGTTAGAAATTAATACTCCATTTATAGATGAAAAATGGGAAGCTCACAAGTCATATAGCTAGATAGGAGAAACTGGGTATCCAAGTCCCAATTACATATCTGCTGTTCTTCTGTTCTTCACCTTGTCCAAAGGCGGTGAGAATAAACAAAAGGAGTCAAAAATGAAGGGGACAGATGTGAGGTGTCTCTGAGCTTCTACATCCTGCAGGTGAGAGAGAAAAGTCACAAGCAGAGCCTGCGGCTCAACACTTCTCAACGGCTCACATCCTTGAACAGCTACAATAGTGAAGACTGTACTTCCTAAAGGGCTCTTTCACGTAGCATGTTCCAGAATTTAATTAACTGACATTTGTCAAGTACCAGGAGATTGTAGGATGAAGTATATGGAGTAAATGTACATAAGCATGTGAGTAGTATTAGGGGCAATAAAAATTTTGTTTGATTTGCTAAGAAAAAAAAAATAGAACTGTAGAAAAAAAGCAGAAAAAATGGACACTTGAAAAGACAGAAGGTGGGAAGGATTCTGTAACAAAAGAGCAATGAACATCCCAACTGAAGATGTCAGATGTGCATTAACAATGAATGGACACGTTCAGAGGCCTGATCTTTGTACCTGCTTGAATTTGCATTAATTTCCTCATGGTCTTGAGTTCTTGGAGAATGGCCTGCAACGTTGACTGGCAGTTACAAGTACAGCAGTTTGATCCAACTGACGAATTCACCATTGGAAGTTCTCCTAAGCATGAAAGAAAAGAATAGCATACTCCCAACAAACAAACAAACAAAAATTATAAAGAGAAAGGATCTTGACAGGACTTTGAAACATGTGCAATTATTTTGAAACTGTGCGTGAGGAAATATACCCAATAATTTTCACAACCTAAATTTTGGGTCTGAATTATCTAATTACGGAGGGTTCTGTATTATGAGATGCGTGCTGTGTCCCAGGTGGCAGGGCCTGCATGAACACATGCACACAATGTGCTGCCACAGCAGGCCTCCCTACTGTCAGACCAGTTAGTCTCAGATAACAATACCCTAAAAGTCACTATAAACACACTCAGGCTACTTTGCACCAAAAACAAAAACAACAAACCAACAACAACAACAAAAAAACTCAAATAACAAAAAACAAAACCCCCCAAAAACTAGCTCTGAGAATAGCCTTAAAAAACAACTGGTAGCTGTGTATAATATCAAAGTTCATATTGAGTGAAACTATTAAAAATAGTTTTAATAGTAAGCATGTCATTTAAAAAATAAAGAGCTGTGAATACATAAAAAATTGTAGAATACTCACTGCTTGGGTATGCTGGGGGTGGGGAAGGTGGGCAAGCAGGGTAGGATAGGACATTTTTACCCATTTCCATTTCTGACAGTCTGTACACTATACTACTCTCTTGTTCTGTGTGTGTACATGTGCGTGTGGGTGCACGTGCGCTGCAAATTGAACTCAGGGTCTTATGCCTGCTTGGAAAGCACTCTACCACTGAGCAACACCTTAGTCTCTTATATTATTTTATTTTATTTGTTCTTTATAGATATACATGAGAGTAGAGTGTATTTTATATTTTATACATACATGGCCCAGTCTCTTTTTCACTGTTTAAACTTAATATAATATTTGTCTTATTAAGAAATTTTACTTTAAATGAATACTTTTCTTATTTTGTTTGCTTTATATATAAACAAATATAGGCTCCCTGTTGACTTTGGACTAAAATGGCACACTTAGCAAAGAACTCTGACTTGCGTACCCTCCAAGATCAGTGTTCACCCCCACAAAAGAAAAAGTTTAAAAATGGCTACTATCAAGTTTTCTGAAAGGTGGATGAGGTAAGTTCTAAGATTTTGTTCCAAAAGTATGTTTTATTATACATTAGATGTAATTCAAATCATATAATATGCATTATTTGTGGATATTAAAAAGTTCACTGTAGCAAAACCACGAAATGCTGGAAGATAACGTTTGAAGTAGCTCAAAATTGTAGCAAACTGACATGTTACAACTTTAAAATTACAAATAATTCCAATGAAATACCAAAGTAGTCACAGATACATGCAGGTGATTCTTGAGCAATGCAGCAGAGTTTAGGGGAACTGACTACCCTACAGTTGAAAATTCAGTTATAACATTTCCCTCAAACTTTTTTTTTTTTGGTACTGGGGATTGAATTCAGGGGCACTCAACCACTGAGCCACATTCCCCAGCCCTATTTTGTGTTTTATTTAGAGACAGGGTCTCATTGAGTTGCTTAGTGCCTTGCCTTTGCTGAGGCTGGCTTTGAACTCTGAATCCTCCTGCCTCAGCCTCCTGTGCTGCTGGGATTATAGGCACGTGCCATCATGCCTGGCTCCCTCTAATTTTTGACTCTCCACAGTAGCAACAAGAGGCTGCTACAAAATTATGCCAATAGTACAGTATGTATTACAGTTAATTTTATGCAATTATGATTTAATATTGCATCTTTACATTTGTTTACATTTCTTTCAACTGTAAATGAAGATGTGTAGTGTCATGCTCAGTGTTCATGTGCATCAGTTTTGATAAATTTTAATTTTTTTATAATACATGTATGTTTATTTTATGGTAGCAAGTTATGAAATAGACTATTCCCTACATTTATTTTATGTATTCATTATATATCTACCTTTTCTGAATTATTTTGCTATCTGCAGGCTAAAAAGTTTATCTGAAAATTTTCTCATATTGTTGCAAATCTCAAAAAAAAAGTCCTCCTATAAGTGAACCTGCACAGTTCACACCCATGTTATTCAAGGGTCAAATGTATAAAGCATTATTACTGAAAGTATTAAAGCAATAAGCACAAAAAAATCTATTTTCAAGCTTACATGGAAAAATTTATATTTGTAAATTTTATTAACAGTAATAACAGTTCCCAAAACAAATCCCCCATTCGTGTTGTGTATTAGAAAGTAGAACTCTTGTTGCCTCAAAGTTACCTATGTAAGGCTCACCAACTTCATATATAACAAAGGACATTTTATTTCTCTTATTGTCTCTTCTACAGCAGTAGTTAGTTGGGAGGGCTTTACAGAATATTCCTAGGCACCATTCTAAGGACTATCTTCTTCAGTGGAAGAGGACAAAACCACCCCTTCTTGGTTTATTATACATCATTTTCTAATTTTAAAGAGAACTGACTTTTTATTTGCATGGAGGAGTCTTTAATGAGCCACCTACCTCACACCCACATGTGAACCTGACATTGGCTTATGTAATAATAAGAGGGAGAAAAGACACCATGCATCTCTGGGGTCCCTCATTGCCTTGTCAGTATCTCCATGTCCCTGAACTGGGTATTGAGAATTGTGTTAAAAAAAAAATTCAAAACAGTACTCTTTTTCTTGATGAACATCACAGAATGAAAATTATAGAAGAAAATGCTTAATTTTTCAAGGAAATAGAAAGTACCTTTTATCTTTGTAAAAAACTATATATCTATATAAAATTTATAAACAAATAACATCCAATGTCACTGGATGGAAAAATTTATATGAACAAGAAAAGCATCAATTTTTTCTTTAAGCTTAAAAAATTGTTGTTTTTTCCTTAACAATCAGGGACTTTAAGGAAATTTTACTTTAAAGGAATACTTTTCAATGCTAATGAAGCAAGTTTTATAAAATATAGGTCCTATGATTCAGCACTGGAGTAGAGTTAACGGGGAAGTCACACAAGAGGCTAAAAGTTCTCAGTCTCCCTCTCATCATTTCTCACAATAAAGCAACATGAAGAAAGAAGCAAGAGGCTACGTTAATAATACAACAGATGACCAGGAAGTTTCTTCTAGTGATAAAGTAGAGCTTTTGTAGCAATAACATCTGTTTGTCAACAGATGACCACTTTTTCTTTCTTTTTTTTTTTTTTAGTTGTAGATGGACACAATACCTTTATTTTTATGTGGTGCTAAGGATCGAACCCAGTGCCTTCCACTACGAGGTGAGCACTCTACAACTGAGCTACAACTCCAGCCCCACTTTAACTTCTTAAAGCGCTGAAACTACTACTAGGGAATCTTCATGTCTAACACAGCACCTCTGTCTTCTCAGTTCTGAGTTTTTTTAATACACTTTTTTCTTTATATCTTCCCTGTCTTTTAAAATAAATCAGTGAAGGTGGGTGACTAAGGTGGGGTTTAATAAACTGATCTCAGAAAACAGACTGAATATTTAGAGATAAAATAAGCCAGGATAAACCCCACAAGTGCACTCTGAATGATTGATGGCAATCATACCGTTGGAGTTTGCAGTGGTGTGGGGCTGACTCTGGAAGGTTCTAGAACGGGTGCCATACTGCCCTGAGAACTGCCCACTTTGGGGTGATAGCTCATTCCACACACCACGTGAAGAAGAATGGAGGCGCTGTGGGGCCACAGCAGAAGAGTTCAAATGCTGAGGCCAGACTAAATCCAAATCCTGGGGCTCTTCTTTTAGTTTTTCTCCTTCTTTGCCAACACGCTGATATATCCTCCCAGTGCTGTCATTCAGTAATCTTCTCATCCCTGTAATTTGTTTTTTAATTTCCATGCTTTCATCTCCTAATGGAAACAGAGCCAAAGTTAGCACTGTAAATTAATAAATAAAAAAATAGACTAAAAAAACCTCTTATTTGGAAATGGATTCCATAAACTTAAGTAATTCATAAAAAAGTTAAAGGCAGGAAATCTGGCTGTAGTCTAAAGACACTGATCATAGTTCTGATGTATCTCATTTTAATCCCTTTCTGGACAAGTTCTCTTACGAAAAAGAGGTTTCCTTAGTGAGCATCACTGGGGACAAACTTTCAAATCCCTCTTTGGAAGCATTTTCTGAATGACAGTGTCAGGTCATAAGTAAGCCGACTGAAACAGAAGACCAAGGACAGGACTAGAAGGTTAGAATCCTAGCCTCAGCCACAACCATCCACATGCTCCTATGTTAACCTCAGTAGGCAGGTGCCAAAACAAAGAAGAATGCATGCTATTCACTGGGATGCAACTTTTTGACAATGGGCTGCAGAGCACACCAGAAGTGCTACTGTCAGCAGATGTCCTTCAGGATGACACATTGTTGGTGGAGACATCACTTTCAGAGAGGATAACAGGAGACAGAGATGTAGTGAGTATCAGCATGACAAGCACGGAGACTGTCCTTCTAGTACCCTCACTCTCATCACACCAGTCAGAGCATGTCCCAGGAATCCCTGACCACTCCAGGTAATTGGCTATAGGAGCACCGAAAGGGTGGAAGTCAAGCCTCCTTGCTCTGCCCAAATACAACTACCACCTCCACTTCAGTGCCAACACTGTAATTTCATGTAAAAGGTAACAGACTAAACATCACTTCACCTACATTTACTTCTTTTTTAAATTATTATAAAACAAACCTAACATAAAATTTATCATCTGAATCATTTTTAAGTGCACAGTTCAGTAGAGTTAAGGGTATTTACACTGTGGTACAACCAATATCCAGATTTTTCTTTCCATTTACTTACAAAAATTCTTTTTCCCTTAGTCAATTTTTTCTTTAAGGTCTCTATACTGGACCTAAAGAGGACTATCGAATCATGAAAATTTTCTACCAATATTATTATCCGAAGATACTGTTACCTGTTATGAGTTATTTCAAATACTAACCCAGGGTCTTGCTCATGATAGACAAGTGCTCTACCACTGAGCTACATCTTGGCTCTGTATTATCTTCTTAAACTTTGCAAAAAGCCAGTATCCTTGCAGAAATTAAGAAAAACTTTTCATCTGACTTGAGAATTAAAAGTCTTATGCTGATACATATACACATTCATGCAATCATTCTACTACTAAATGTTTAAAACTACAAAACAAGGTCAAAAGAAAGTGTCTTTTAGGAAAAAACAGCTCTTGCAAGTAAACATATAACGTAATGATATTTGAATGCACTTAGTTTCATATAAACTAGATTTCTCTTCAGAACTGGTAATTGAATTACCTAGGTATTTTGCATTATCTACTTGTATATTTATTAATGTATTATTACATTACTGGATACTATATAAGGAACTTTTACACCCTATTTTGAAATAAATATCTTCATTTTTTTTTTTTTTTTGGCATGCTGGTGATCAAACCCAGGAACTTGCTCATGCTAACCACACCCTCTACCATTAAGCTACATCCTCAGCCCCTTCAATTTTAAAAGATGGTAATGAAAATCCTAATTCTGTCTTTAATATTGAACATTGATGAATAAAGAAAAAACATGGGTTCCTAAACTTGCAAAAATGCAGCAAGGTGTTTCTGGAAGAGCTCCCAAGGGAATTCTGGAACAAGCCTACAGGCAAATGTGGTGGTAATTTCAGCATCAAAACATATACTTTCCTGGTGAGTTAACAGAATAATATGGGCAAGAGGAAACATATTTCCTGTGTGGTTTCCACTCTCAACTCTCTTGGTAGGTTGGTCACAATGTAGGAAAGGGGATGTATGGGCTGATCTTTAGGGGCACAATCTAGTGGCTGGCTGCCTTTCCTCTCCTTTTGCTTGGGGCTCCCTGTAAGGACACAGGTTCTTGAGCCAGCGTCAGCTTACTTCTGCACACTGATCCTACACATCACAGGAAAAGGCATGTATACCTTGTCCAAGGTTCCATATCTGCTCTGAGGATAGAATTCTATGATAAAGTGCTACCATTATGAAAAAGAGAAAAGTCATAAGAATTGTGAAACCTTAGTTTTGGATTTCTTAAACTTAAACCCATGAAAATTACAAGACTGAAAATACAACCTGAGTTTTGCATGACTTTTATATTTTCATACTGATGACCAGACTCTGAAGCTGCAGGTAGAGATGAGGAAAGAAGGCAACAGACATAAAGAAGAGTCTAGGGTAGGTGGGCTGCTCCTCCAGTGTTCAGAAACATGTCTTCTAGAGGCAAAACATACAAAAAGTCATTACCTGTGGGGACCAAGCAGAGCTGTGAAAGAAGAAGGCAGAAGACTAGAAGCAAGGATGACTAATGTCACAGGAAAGAGCCCAAGGTCTGTGAGACATTTTAAAGGAAAGAAAATAGTAAACTATAATAGTTACCTAAGTCTCTTCTGAAAGGAAAGTCAAGAGATCATGGAGAAGGCTGAAAAAGAGTTGGTTGGCGCAAATTTCTTAAAGGAGACAGGCTGGGCTTCCCTAGAGGACAACTGGGCATTCGAGAATGGTCTTTGGTCCTAATGGAATCATATTTCCTTTAGCCAAGGAAGAAGGGAGGCACTGAGGCCATCACCCCTGAAGGTATCACCTGGGTAGAGGAAGTCCTGCAACTCAGACCCCTATGCAGGGTCTGGTGGGCTTTATCAGAGAGAAAGAAAGAGGTAGTTACTTTGAACTTTTGGGACAGAGAGGGCAGATGGTTAGAAATGAGACCCAAAGACTAAAGTAGGGAATCTCAAAAAAGCTGAGTCAACCTACTAAACTGGGGGCAGTGGGTGCTCAAAACATACAGACAGGCTGAGGCACAGAATTTCAGACAACAGATGTTAGTTGGTACAATGGGAAGGCTGGGAAGGTATTCCTGAGACCTGGACCACTTCTCAACTGTACTGACTTGCCACTAGCTATGAGATAAGACACTCAGTATTCTCAGACTTCAATTTCCTGAATCATAAAGGGAAGGTTTGAACCAGACTCATGCTACACATAACCCAAGGGGTATGCAGAAGTAGCTAGGAGGGCTACAGGTTTCCAAGTTTTCTACATGTAAATGGAGCATTTAATGCCTCTAAAAGTCACATATGTCCTCAGAAAAAGGGTTATTCTAATAGTGGAGGCCATGCTCTTTGATTTTCAAAAAATGGCAGAAAGCATATAAGTCAGATCTGAAGTATTAGTTTACTTCTCTTTGCTTTTCCAGTTTTAATTAGTCACTGTCTTCTCTCCATATAGAATCTGGAAAAGAAAACTCTTGGGAGTGAGGAGCTGTCTAGAGCAATAGAAGTCTAGAGGGGACCCTATTCACTTTTCCTAATTTCTTTCCAAGAATTTTCTATGTATTCACTTACAGGCAACTCCAGGCAAAATATGTTTAGCAAAAGCAATTGAAAAAAAAAAAAAAAAACACCTTGCTCTAGCAGAACTGTGCCATGTTGCTACATTATTGGTAAAACAAGCTTAACTGAATTTTTTTAAAAAAATATTTTTAGTGGTAGATGGACACAATACCTTTAATTTTAAATTATTTCTACGTGGTGCTGAAGGTTGAACCCAATGCCTCACACATGCTAGGCAAGTGCTCTACCACTGAGGCACAACCCCAACCCATTAACTGAATTCTTAAGGGAGTTTAGTGACCATACTCTATGGACAAGGTCTAGAAAAGAATGGAGGCTGGATTCTACTCATCACTGAATTTCAATACCATATTAGATCATTTTCCTTTAAAAAGAATTTCTATGATATACAATTTTGCATCATGTGATAAGTATTAAGGAATGATACAATATTCCTTCATTTGGCCAAGAAAGAAATATACACTACTGGGGCCTAACTATTCGTAGCCCAGGTTGATGAAAGATTAGGTGGTAACACACAACATACAGAATGTGGTTGTACATAAACATTGTACATCTGTCTATGTGTGCTTTCTTGTTATGAAGACACATGAAGAACAGTCACTGTTTCTTTGCCCTACAAATAAGTAATATGAAAAAAATGGCTTATCAAAAATGAAGTCAGGGGCTGGGGATGTGGCTCAAGTGGTAGCGCGCTCGACTGGCATGCGTGCGGCCCGGGTTCGATCCTCAACACCACATACAAACGAAGATGTTGTGTCTGCCAATAACTAAACAATAAAAATATTTAAAAAAAAATGAAGTCAGTAGAATAAGTGCAACATCAAGGCAGTAAACAAACAATATATTAACAGGAAAGAGTGAAAAAGTACCAGAAATAAATTTTTAAACAAACATTCACTGAGCACCTCCCAGGTCTCAGAGATATGAAGATCATTAGGTACAAACTGAAAGGTACTCTCCTCCAAATCTCCCAACATCTTTTACCCAAATCTCTATACTGATCTGCTGCTCTGAAAAATGAACCTTATTTTCCCCATCCTATTGACCCTTATTTCCTTTAACCATATGCCTGGAAACTCTAGTTAGCAGATTGCCCTAATATTTTCACACACTTTCTGCTTCCTTCCTTGAGTTAAAACATGACTTCCCAGAGGATGCTGCTTTCCCTGCAGCTCCCTTGCATTCGTATTATGCAGTATAATCAGATACATCCTTTACAAAAATAATTCTGACAAAACTGGTGTGGGGACAGAAATCCAGTAGAATATTATTGCTAAAGTCTACATGGCAATAATAGTCTTGATCAGGATTTGTGTGGGGAGCAGGAGTGGAGAGAGAAGATGGAAGGAAGACTCTGAAGGAGTTTAATCAAATGGGCATGGTGATTAGCTGGTGGGGACAGGTAGATGGGGGCGGGGTGGGGTGGTGAGGAAGAAGAATCAATGAAAGATAATTCCAAGCTTTCCAGCTCAGGTGGCTGAATGAATACTAGAGCCATCAGAGAAATAGAAAACA